ATAATAACTTTTGTGTGGTACTGGACAACCAGGTAAGTACAATAAATTCTTGTTATCTGTTATAAACAAAGTTCATGTGGTGTTAGTAAATCAGGACTGTCCATTGCAATTCATGGTAATCCTAGGAATGGATTGAAAACCTGCCTTGACATGTATTTCAACTTGCACATACTTGCACGTATGTGGACTTAGTAAAACCTTTGGCAAAATAGGACACCGGAGAATACCAGAGAAGATAGAATTGGGAGACGATAGAAAACAGGATGCGGATAAACTTGATTCAGATGTACAAAATAAGATAGGAGTTGAGGGCTATTTTTATATTGTGTGTATGTGTGAGTGCATATCTCTACATTGGTTTAGTTCTGGTGTCACTTCTGTTTACTGTATTTATTTATTTATTAATTAATTAATTAATTAATTAATTGGATAGAGATCTAACAAAAGTACCTACGTGCCAATGCCCCAATCACAATTTTACCTGCAATAGGGGCTGTTAAACTGTCCAGTTGAAGCCTAGTTGACAGCCTACTCCCATCACAACTAGGATTTAACCAGTGGTGGGAGAGTCACAAACAAAGCATCAAGCCCATTATCTTTCATTGCATTAGCTGGGTGGTAAGATGGGGTGCCTCTTCATCGTCAGATCAACCGCAGGCCGCTGCAGGTCTACCCATCCCATTTCTGCTCCACATCCCCAGGAGCATTTAATCCCAGCACCCCATTCTAATTCAGTCATAGGCTACGTCAGCTTGCCCTGTCTAGATATCTCTAATTTACTCCTCACTTCAGTGCTAGCTCCTTACCTTTGGAAATTAGTTGCGATCTTAGAAGTGGCCACTGCTGTACTGGTGATAGTGCTGAGACAAGAAAGATGCCAACCATTTAATTGGTCAGCAGATCTCAGAAGCAGGTCTTTTGAGCACCTAAATAGATATTTCAGCTTTGCCTTTTATAGTTAGAAATTCGTGCTCCTGATCCTTGAAATATCCACAGAGTCTCTTTATATTTGATTGTTTCTTTGAACACGCCTTTCTTTCAATGCCATTACAAATCAATCTCAACTTTCAACTGTAGCAACTTCTTGATGCTTTGAACAGTTTCTCATGTATTCAGTATTTCCTTAAACACTCTCATTTGTGCTGTTCTGTGAGATTTCAGATACCATAATTCATCAAAACTAAATAGGAATTTCATAAAAGTTGCCACTAGGTCAAAACACATATTGTCATTAAAAGAATCCTTGGTTAAGGAAGATAGGGCTGAAAGTCTCACCAATAGACTATTAACACCCCTCTAAATGTTAAATACCTACAGGGTGAGCTGCCAGAGCAAAGTCACACTCACCCCCAACTCCTACACCAGGATAGCATAGAGATATCACTGCTTGTATTAAATGTCATCCTCTGTGGTAATGCCATGGCAGACTGTTTATAAGTTAGTTCAATTTCCTTGCATTTTGTGCAAATGTTCAATGTCGTAGCAACTACACCATGAAGAAAATATTTAAACTTAAGTTGAGGAATAATGTAACCAGTTTCACTGGAAGCAGTTACTTATTTTAGCTTGCAGGCTTTCCATTTTTGGAGGAATTTCTTTCAGTTTACCAACTTAAAAATCCTCCATGTAATAGTGTAGAATCAAATGCTATCACTAACATGGGCTATGGTTCACACTTCTCTATTGTACTGTTAATAACAAAGAAATCTGTGATTAGAAAGCACAGCTTCAGAATGCAGAAATTGCATTTTATTTGTCACAGGACCTTCCTCACAGAAAAGTGAGAGATTTAGAAAAATTGGAAAAAGTCGTAATTAAAAAGCAAAACGTTCAGCTTCACTTTCTAAAGGCTATATGTTCTGTGCTTCCTTTAAAAAAAAAGTGATCACTTTGAGCCAGTTTACACAGCACCACTTGAAGCACTTTGTTTTTATTTGTCATTGTATCTTTTGGTGTAGATTTCAAAGATTTTGTGGAGACTCCTTTACTGTTAAAGAAATGATATCACCTCTGGGACTACATAGACCTTAGAGGTAATGAGGGCACATAACATCTGTCTTCCTTAACCAAGGATTCTTTTAATGACAATATTTGTTTTGACCAAGTGGCAACTTTTATGAAATTCCTATTTAGTTTTGATGAATTATGATATCTGAAATCTCACAGAACAGCACAAATGAGAGTGTTTAAGGAAATACTGAATCCATGAGAAACTGTTCAAAGCCTCAAGAAGTTGCTACAGTTGAAAGTTGAGATTGATTTGTAATGGCATTGAAAGAAAGGAGTGTTCAAAGAAACAATCAAATATAAAGAGACTCGGTGGATATTTCAAGGATCAGGAGCACAAGAATTTCTAACTATAAAAGGCAAAGCTGAAATAGCTATTTAGGTGCTCAAGATCCAAATGTGATTAAAGCTTTTTAAAAATTTCCTGTTGTATGGTTAATATTTTGTTTGTTGATCCAAATCTGTGTAGGTGAATACATTTTTGTCCATTATCCTTTTAGGCTTTGTAGGCAAATTGTCTTTTGATCTGTGCCCCATAAATGACCAGAAAATCAGTGTATCACATGAAGTTCTGATTATATACCAAACATAAATGTGCATTGCTATATTAACCTTTAATTTTTAAGTTTTATTATTGTTCTGTTGCACCTAATCAGTTACACTGCAGAGAAGTTCAGTTGGAATCTAAAGTGTGTTGATATATTGATTTCTAATTTGCATTTCTTTGTAGCTACAGCAGAGTAAGAAAAAAAGTTAAAATGTTCTTGTTGTTAAAGGTTTATAATCATGTTGGTCTTTTTTCTGTCTAGTCTAAACGGAGGTCCCAGGGTCTATCTCTGGATCCTATTTACCACTGTCTAAATCGAACAATACTCTACCAGTTATCGAGACCACATAAGACTGTTCCACAACAAGTTGCTCTTTTAGACTCTTTACGTGTCCTGACAGTCAACCGCACACTTATACTTGGACCTGGTAATCACGATCAAGAATTCATTGGCTGCCTAGCACATTGTTTAATTAGCCTCTATGTTGGAAGGTAAGTCTGATAGCTAAGTCAAAATAACCAACATAATATTCTCTTCATAACAGCATGAAAACTTAATTATAGCCACTAATAAAAATGATCTTCTTGATATCTATTTCATTGTCAAATTTACAGATTATCTTCTGTTAATAATGCATAAATGTCATCAAATTGCAACCAGTTTATTTGGATTTCTGATTTATGCAGTTATTTAAATGATTTCTCACATGTAAGGCAGTTGGTTCTGAAAAGTTTTACTGATGAATTAGCTACTCCCATTGGTGGAGAGCCTATTATCTTGCAGCCCATGGGATTAAAGTGGTAGTGCACTGATAGCATGGATATGAACTGGGAGAGAATAATGGTGAGTTGTTCATTATCAGACTGGATGAATGTGTATCATCATATCACCAAGAGATCAGTTTTAGTACCACTGCACTTTCTGATCTGGGCATTTGTAATATAAAATTTGGAAGAGTTGTAAAGTGTAAGGACAATACTAGCAGCCTTGCTGATTATGAAATGGAAGAGAAGCAATATAAGCTAAGTAGTAAAATTCTGAGCGGTGGGGGAGTCTAGCTGGATTAGAGAGACTTGGGATTCACGTCTTTGAAGGCAATTGGAAAGTTGATGAAAAACTGTTTACAAAGCATAAGTGACTTTTGGCTCTATATATAGAAGCTTACCATACAAAAGCCAGGAAGTTATGTTTGAGTAAATACTGGTTAGGCCTCAGCTTGATTGTGTCCAATTTTAGAAGGGATTTAAGGCATTGTGGATGGTATAAAGGAAATTTACTAAAACTATGCCATGGTGGAGAGACAATGAAGCTAGGGTTGTTCTCCTTACAGTAGAATAAGTAAGAGCAGGTTTCGTGAAGTTATGCTCCAGCTATACAAAAGCCTGGTTCGGCCACATCTGGAGTATTGTGTCCAGTTCTGGTCACCTCATTACAGGAAAGATGTGGAAGCGTTAGAAAAGGTGCAGAGGAGATTTACCAGGATGTTGCCTGGAATGGAGGGAAGGTCTTACGAGGAAAGGTTGAGAGAGCTAGGGCTTTTCTCTTTAGAACGACGAAGGATGAGAGGTGACTTGATAGAGGTGTACAAAATGATCAGAGGTATAGATAGAGTGGACAGCCAGAGACTTTTTCCTAGGGTGGAGGTAGCTTTTACGAGGGGACATAGTTTTAAAGTGAAAGGAGGTAGATATAGGGGAGACGTCAGGGGTAGATTCTTTACTCGGAGAGTGGTAGGGGCGTGGAATGCATTGCCAGAGAGGGTAGTGGAGTCGGCCTCATTAGGGGCATTTAAGCGGTTATTAGATAGGCATATGGATGATAGTATAAAGGTAGCGGTGGAGGTTAGATAGATCTTGGGTTTAGGGTAAAAGTTCGGCATAACATCATGGGCCGAAGGGCCTGTACTGTGCTGTACTGTTCTATGTTCTAATAGATTTAAAATGTACTGGGGGTAGAGTAAATAAGGAGAAACGGTTTGACTGGGCAGTAGATCGATAACCACAGAACACTGATTTAAGATAGACTGCACAAAAAACCAGACAACAATTTTTTTTCTCAGTAGTTATCTGAAATTTACTGGCTAAATGGAAGCAGATTCAACAGTAATTTTCAAATGGGAACTGGATATATGCTTGAAAAGAAAAATTTTCAGGACTATGGGGAAGAGTAAGACAGAGAGTGGGGCAAATTGGATGGATCTTTTAAAGAACCAGCACAGGCACAATGGATCAAATGTATAGTGCCATATTTTCAGAGCTGTAGCTGCCAATTCTGGTCCAAATTGGTATAAATAGCTTGCAAGGACACTTCTGGTACTTGTGACCCCAAGAGCTATCTTGTTCAGGGTATTAACACAAGGTGCATGTATCCACATATGTAGAATAAGCAGATTCTTGATGTCAGTCAACATGTAATGCTAATTTGGTATCAACAATATCATTTTTGATTTGAATGTATCAACTAATACTCTGTCCTAACCTTGAGTAACTGTACATGCATCCCCCAATGTGATTTAAGGTGATCATCAACTACTTTCTGGTTATTTGCTGATTTGATTTCTACTGCCTGTTGCTGATTCTGAGGTGTGCTTGGTAGTTTTGTACTGCTGTTTCAGATTGATGAAGTTGCATTGTGCGGTGTGGTACAGCTTGAAGACCTTGGTTCTGACTTTCAGGGATTTTGCACAGACCAGTTGTTTCCATGTATGTAGCTGGTAACTGCTTTTATCCAACAGCATAACAGGATAAGTGAACAGAAGTGATATAGAAAATGAAGAAGGGTCCCGACCCGAAACGTCAACTTTCCTGCTTCTCTGATGCTGCTTGGCCTCCACACTGTTATTTAGAAAATGATAAGCTCCTTAAAGATGGAGGAGGAGGGGGAATAGGGCTCTCAACAGAATGTTTAGGGACCATTTTCCTATCCAAATCACACCAAGGAACAAGTAGTCTGCTTTTTTTCAGCAGGAGGTGCTCGCTAAAATTTGGCACTTGCTGCAGCCATTGCCAGTTTATTTGAAGATGCTCATGGCTGTGAAATTCGCTACCTTCCAAGTTGGGTTGGGTGACATTTGTAACATTCCCCCAGCTGTCTGTGACACTGTTGCAAACACTGTTGCACGTACTCATTCATTAAAGGGAGCAGGAAATGTTTTATTTTTCTCCTGCAAGAGGAAAGCAGAGAGAATGAGAAAGAAGTATAACTAATATTGTGGATTCGCCATGATGCAGGTTTGATGTCACACACGTCACTTTGCAAGCATTGAATCTCCAGTTCTGAGATGCACTGTAAGCAGGGTTACACTTGCTCAACTATGTCCAACATTGATACATAGCCATACTCATGATACAGGACAATGATAAGTATTGTTACAGCTGTCATGATGTCATCGTTCTCTAGCAGTCCTTAAAATGCCTACGATTGAGTAAACATGACAAACTAGAGTGATTACTAGACAACAAAGGCTTACCACTAATCACTTGGCCCATATCTCCAGTACATACCTCTCACATGTAGGAAGCATGCATATAATGAAATTCATACTGCCATAAAAAATACAGTGAGACCATTGGGCTGTTGAAACAATGCTTTTGCTGGTTGGATTGTACTGGAGGAGCCTGACAGTCCCTGTCCTCCACCCCAACTCTGCCACAGTTTGGAATGGTTTGCTGCTTCCCACACAACTTTGCCATCACTTGCATAGCAGTTGACATTAAGTGTATTGCAAGCAGTGAGGAGGAGGGAAACATATCTTCATTCTAAAAGAAATGCAAAACATTCTGGAAACACTTAATGTATTGAGCAGCAGAAATGGAAAGTGAAACAGCATTTTGAGTTGATGACTTTCTTCACAGATGTCTCTGTTTTAACTAGAAAACAGAGGAAGTGACTGGAACAGGGTAATAGTGAGCATAAAGGAGGGTCTGTGATAGAGGGAAAGACAGGCAAAATTAAATGACACTTAATGATGCAAGACAAAAGGAAATTGTAATGAATATTTGCTTGGTAGTACAGAGCTTCAACATTGCTAAAAGATAACAAGAAGTTGAACTTTTTCATCTTGCATGCATCAGAACTAGGCCACAAGAAACAGGCTTGAACAAAGGAGGCACAATTTTATAGGGATAGTTTCTGAAGAAGGGTCTAGGCCCGAAACGTCAGCCTTCCTGCTCCTCTGATGCTGCTTGGCCTGCTGTATTCATCCAGCTCTACACCTTGTTATCTCACAATTTTATAGGGCATGAGAATAGGGTGCTGATTAGTTGTACCATTATCAGCGGGGAATGCAGGAAGAACAGTTATGTCAATCTTAATTTCCAGACCAAGCAGGAGGGGTACTTGCAGATCACGGCCTTCCCATTCATCTGTCCTTGTCATCCTAGCTGGTCGAGGTCACTAGTTTGGAAGCTGGGGTCAAATTAGCCTTCGTGAGTTGATGCAGTGCAAATGTACACTATGTTACCACTATGTATTGGCAGTGGGCAAGGGGATTAAATATTAAAGGTGATAGGGTGGCAATCAAGCAGGCAGCTTTGTCCTGGATGGTGTTGAGTTTCTTGAGTGTTGTTGGAGCTGCCTCTATTCCATCACGCTCCTGGTGGCTTGTAAATGCTGAACAAGCTTTGGAAAGTCAGGTGGTGAGTTATTCACTACAGAATCACTCGCCTCTGACCTGATATTGTAGCCCCAGTATTTATGTGGCTGATCTAGTTCCAATTCTGCCATTCGTAACACTCAAGATGTGATATTGAGGATTTTGCGTTAGTAATGCTATTGAATAAACACAGTGTGATCGTTAGATCAGGGCTTCCTGACTTTATCTTTGTGACCCCATCTTGATGGTTGATAATTGTTCTCACCCCAAATGTCTGAGATCTCGGGGCTGGGGGTGGTGGTGGTAAGTGATTGGAGATGCAGTGGGAGATCTGTGACAGTGGTGAGTAGGATAAACCAGGGATGAGAGGCTCAGGAGTTTGGGCTAACTGTTCAATCTATAGAGTTTTTAAGTAAAAAGCACCAACTTTTCCAAGATTCTTCAGGGCAACAATTGAGGCTCAAGGGTCAGGAAAGTGGGTTGCACCTACTGTTTAAAACTAACTGAGGCCACATGACTGCTAGCATTCAGTCAGAGCTCCATGGCTGTCATTAGTGCTTCATTCGTGGGCAGCTGTCAGTGTTCTAGCTGTACTGGGACACCTTGTCCTCGGCTTGTCAGGGCCGTAACCTTCGCAGAATGCAGTGTCTTCAGTTGTTTGTTGATATCATGTGGAGTGAATCACATTGGATGAAAACTGGCTTCTGCAATATTTGGGACTTTGGGAGGATATGAGCAGCATACAAAAACTGAACAAGAGTAGACCACTCAGCCCTTCAAGCCTGTGGCACCATGCAGTAAGAGATAGTTGATCGAATTTTTAACCTCAACTCTTAATTCCTGCATATCCCTAATAATGTTTTATCCCCATGGTAATCAAGAATCTACCTGTTTCTT